GAGTATAAGAGTAAGAGTTAGACAATGGTAGGCCTGAGCTAATGGCTGAGCAGTTTAAATAATATAAGCATCTGTATGTTTATTTTATAAGTGGGCTACGGGACTGCCGGGGCTTGGCGGGACCCAGAGAGAAAAACTCTAGCTACAGTCTGTTCTCAATATAACTATTCAAAATACATGAACAGGAAAAAATTTTCATGTTTTTATTATATCGGAACAGAATAATGCTATGAAAACAGCAAACCAGGGGCTTGGGTCGGGGAGGCTCAGTCAGTAGAGCACTTCGTGTACTCATGAAGACTCGAGTTCAGATTCCCAGCAACACACTTAAAACCAAACCCAACCCAACAACAAAACTATCGGTGTTTCAGTGCACATGCCATTTCAGCACTAGAGAAGTGGAGACAGGAGGGCCCCAGGGCTACCTAGACAGCCGCTGAGTCAAATCCAGTTCACAGGCTCCTGCTGCCTGGTTCATTTGAGATCTTGCCTCAAGAAAGAGTTGGAGGTTAATTGAGGAAAACACCTGATGTCATCTTTGACCTTTGTGTGGCATACACACCAGACAACACACACACACACACACACACTAAACTAGTATCTAAAGTCTCTTTGAAGTCAGTTTCAAAGAATTGTGAGGGCTTGTTTTTTGAGACAGGTCTCCATGGTGGTTTGAAAGAAAATGGCCCCAAAGGGAGTGGCACTTTTAGGATGTATGGCTTTATTACAGTGGGTGTGGCTTTGTTGGAGGAAGTGTGTTACTGTGAGGGTGGACTTTGAGGTCTACTATGCTCAAGTCACCTGACGTGACAATAATGGACTAAACCTCTGAACTGTAAGCCAGCCCCAATTAAGTGTTTTCCTTTATAAGAATTGCCATTGTCATGGTGTCTCTTCATAGCAATAGAAACCCTAACTAAGACAATCTCACTATGTAGCCCAGGCTGACCTCTAAATTGTGGCAATCCCTCTGGCTCAGCCTTGAGTGCTAGTATTACAGGTATGAGTCACTATACCTAGCTCAGAAATGATATCTTAATTGCAGTTTTAGGTTTACTAATTGTTAAGTTAGCCTGGCATGGTGGCACATACCTTCGATCTTAGCACGGGGGAAGTAAATGCAGGAAAGCAAGAATTGAAGGCTATCCTCAGTTACACAGTACATTAGGCCAGCCTAGGCTACACAAAACCCTGTCTGTCCTCCCCACCACCCCCTAAAAAGCAAGCAACCAAGAACTGTTGAAAGTTAAACAATATTGGGGATGTGGCTCAGTCACAAAAGTGTGTGCCAAGTGTGAAGAAAGAACTGGATTTGGTCCCCAGCACCGAATAAACCAGCTGTGGTAGTTGGTGCATGTTTATAATAAACATGGGCATCAGAAGTGCTAAATAATCATACTTTTAAATTGGATTGGGAAAATCAATTGTTTATTTTTATGATTATGACTGAATTCATAGTAGGCCATGAACTGCATTGTGATTAATTTCCTTTTATATAAAAACTCTTTTCATTGACCTGTTTTTCTGGAGGAAATAAATAACTTTTTCCCTTAATTATTTAGTTAATACTAGTTCCTCCTCAAACTTTAGTCAAGAGTTATAAACTCTCTCCTGTCAATCTATTCAACATACCATAAAATTTTTGCACTTTTTTCTTTGAAAAATTCCACCTAGGATATCTGTCTACCTCTTGCGATTTGCTCTGGCTTCCCACTCGGCCTGTCCCTACTGTTTCCTAGTTCGGCTTTCATCATGTCTCTTTACTCTTATTTTAATGGGATTTAGGAGGAAGTAAAATAAACATATTTACTTATTCAGTAATTATTTCTTTACATCTTTACTTGGTGTGTGTGTGTGTGTGTGTGTGTGTGTGTGTGTGTGTGTGTGTGTAAATGTGCATGTCACAGTATGAGTGTGGTGGTCAGAAATGGGTCCTGGGGATTGAACTCAGGTCCTCAGGCTTGGCAGCAGGTACCTTTACCTGTTGAGCTATCTCACTGACCCTCAACACTTATTTTTTATTAGCACTCAGTATGTGCCAGCAAGTATTGTAGGATTTGGGGATATAACAGTAATACAGAACTTTAAAGAATATAAATAATACTCCAGTTAAAGGAGACAGATACATAAGTAGAAAATGAATTTTTAGTATCTGAATTCAGGAACCCAAAACATTTAGAAGTATTTCTGGATAAATCCCTTTTACTGTAACTTTTGCTACTTTGGGAAGCACAGGAGCCAAATGGATTAGAATAATTTGGGGCCCCCAAGACTCCAACTTATTAGAATCAGGAATTACTAACATATCACAGGTGCTTGCTATAAGGTTAGTACTGAAAAGAACTTTAAGGAAAAGAGCAAAGAAGCCTGGGGGTGGGTAGGTAGTCTGAGAAGACCCTGCATAACGACACTGGCCATCTGTGCATCTGAGAGAACAGGCCATCTCATACACAGGGAACAGTGAATGAAGAAATTCTTAAGCAGATAACTATTTATTCACCCTGGTTATACATTTTAAAAAACATGTTTATTTTATGTTCAATTATGTGTAATTGTGCCTATGTGTGTGTATGTGCATGAGAGTACCAGTACCTACAGAACACTGATCCCTTGAAGCTGGAGCTACAGGTGGTGGTTGTTGACGCCATGCAGGTGCTGAGAATCAAATTTGAGTCCTTTGCAAGAGCAACTAATGCTGTTAATTGCTCTGTCATCTCTGGAGCCCCACTAGGTATCTATTTTTAGTTTATTATCATTAGTAGAAACTTTCCTCACTAGCACTTAATAAAGCACAATGGACGTAATGTTCAAAAACAATATCCTGGTCTATTTTTGCCAATCAGCGGGAGGATTCAATACTGCCATTTTCATCAGTACGTTTTATTTGTCTTTTTAGAGACAGGGTCACTCATGTTCTGGTGCTTCTGGAATAGAGATCCAGCTGCCTCAGCCTCCCTAGGGCTGGGATTAAAGGTGTGCACCACCATACACTCTTGGAAAGAAACATGCCCTTTCAAGGCCCAGTTCTTTGGAAAATCAAAGCTAATAAAGTCAAATGTTCTGCAAAAAGTAGCCATGGCAACATAATCAACAATTTTCAATGGCTACCTACTCAAGACAGCTTGAAAATCTAGGAAGGTCATAGCAAAGAAGTAGGGAGATAAATCGCTCCAACAAGGATTATCAGGAAGACCAGACACTGAATAGTGTCTTGAAATTCTAGACTGCTTGGTGACTAAAGACAAGAAAGAAAGCAGTCTTTCTAAAGCAACAGTAGAATCGAGTGTTATTTTCTCATGATTACTTTTCAAGATCTTTTTGTAAGTTTTATTCCCCCGGGGGAATCTTTGTACTGTCAACTTTTTGGTACTTTGTGTTTTCTGCGGGCATCGGTCACACACTGGGGCATTTTCCGACTCTAGATCTTCTTCCTTGGTGAAAAGGCTGAAACTTCACCAGAGACACTTTGCCTCCAGCAGATCCTTTCTTGGGGATGGGCAGAGACAGGTCACAAAAAACCTCAGAGGTCGTGAAGCTTGACCTGGCACAGGCCTGGCACTTGAGGCAGATTTTCAACTGTCCCATAGATAGGTCCACACTCTTGCTTTCTTCTCGCTCCAGATAGCGCTTCCACATTAAGTTGGCTCAGTCATCGTCACTTAATTCAGATTCTTCATGCAGAACCCCTCCTTGGAGAGGTGGAGAGGGAACTGGACCACTGGGCAGGATTGGAGGTGCCTGGCGGCCTCATCCATTGATTTCAAGGCGCAACCGCTCCATGAGGAGCTTCAGGAACTTTTGGGCATCCTGCTGGCTGTATCCAGAGAAGGAGGCAACGCATTTATAGGAGACAGCCCGGAATCGAGGAGGATTCACAGCTTCACAGGAGTCAGGGTGCCAGAGGCACCTACATCTGCGAAGCTCCTGGGCTCGGCCTCTCCCGGCACCTCTTGCTGGAAGTTCCTTCGAAGACAAAGTCTCAAAGAGGCCTTGTGCTGCTCAAACACTGTAGCACCGTGTTCAGGAAACAAGTAGTTTCCAGATTTCGGAGGCCAGCATGGTAACAGCCACTTTTTAATCTGTCTTCTTATTTAGTATGATTCGTTCATTTATTCATTGTTTTATTGGTGCTTTTTAAAAAATGCCCTCTATATTTTAATTTGGGTGAAACTAAATTGCCACATTATAATCAGGAGGAGAAACGAGACAGGCGCAAAAATCCATTTAATAACAATAATCTTGCGGGCGGTGGTGGTGCTCGCCTTTAATCCCAGCACTCGGGAGGCAGAGGCCAGCCTGGTCTACAAAGCGAATTCTAGGAAAGGCACAAAGCTACCCAGAGAAACCCTGTCTCAAAAAACAAAAACAAAACCAACAACAACAACAAAAAATAATAATAATCTTAACCTGAAAAAACAATAAAGTTACAGAAAAACCTATAAGGGGAACAATGATTTTTCTTTTCTTTTTTTTTTTTTTTTTGAGACAGGGTCTGGCCTGGAACTCACAGCAATCCTACCCAAGTACCAGGGCTGAAAGCATGTACCACCACCACGCCCAGCCAGGAACAAAGATTTAAATGAGCAGTATTATCAACATGAGTAACAATGTTCTAAGTCTCTGACGTTCTAAGCATATGTTCCTTAGAAAAGTCTAGAGAATAAGTTTTTGATTTTTCAAATGCGTTATAAATTGAATGGGCTTCAAGTGTCAAGTCACAAATGATAGAGCCCTGGTTATCCCTAGTTGCCAGAAATACCAACTACAGTCCTGTTTTGTTTTATTTATTATTTTGTTTTTCTGAGCCAGTATCTCACTCTACGGCCCAGGCTGGCCTAGAAGTCAAGGCAGCTCTTCTGTCTCAGTCTCCCACATGCTGGAATTGGCAGGTGAGAGCTACCACATTAACCTTGTATTACCTGTTTTAGACTGACATTTCAGAGTAGTTAACTTAAAACACATTATTGTTATTTAGTTATTTCTTATTTTGACAAACTCACCTGGTACAAAAAATTCTGTTGGCACAAACCAGTGAAATTCCAGATGGAATCCTAAGCGAATAGCCTTCAAGGTAACAAGGAAAATCAAATAGAGGACGGATACCGTACCTGTACGGGACAGACAAACAAACCCAGAGACCACTTATTACCTTTGCGTATCTTACAGACTGCTTTAAAAATCAGGACTGGAGAAATTATCTTCATTAATTTTATTTTTTTAAAAAACCAGCTAGATTCTAAAGAATAAAAATTAGCCATGTGAGTTATCAGAAAATGAAACAGAAAAGTAAGCCTAAGGAGACCTGGGTCAAGGAACCTCTAGTGCTCACTGAATGGGAACTGTTCAGTTAACTCAGGAATTCAGTGCAGGCAACAAGCAGACTCCATTACAGAACTGTCAGGTATACAAGAAAACAAAACCATGAAACCAACTTATGTTGTTTTAGGTGTTGAGAGACACTCAACACACTGGAAAGTCTGTCCAGTTAATTTGAAATGATAAAGAAAGAAAAACATTTGAGAAAGTGGACAAATGAGCTAGCAGCTACATGAGGCTCTGCCACACAGAGTTTTTACTAGTGTAGAAATGAGAGGGCTGTTATCCTTTAACTAAAAACATGTTTCTTGTAGTATTGGGAATCAAACTGAGAGCCTTGTAAGTACACAACTAGGCAAATGCTCACTCGGTGAGCTCCATCTCCAACTCCAGGTTATTCCTCCTGAGGAAGCAGATCAGGTCATTATGGAGGCAGTCAGACCTATTTCTGTATGCCCTTGGATGCTCCTGCTGTGAGGAAGTCACAGTTGGAAGAGGAAGGAAAAGGACGACAGCAGAATGTCTTCAAGTCTGGTTGGAAGCCTGAGGACCACAGGGTCTCGCTGAGCAAACTCTCTGTAAGTTCGCACGCTTCGAAAGACTTGTTCCCCTGGAAAGTTGGCAGCGAGTCAGGAAACCACAGCGAGCTCTAGAAGCTGGACTGCGGGTTTAGAGATTAGTCCATTCACAAAGGTGAAGACAGAAGGCCGGGCTTCCGGAACAACCCGTTTTCTCCCTGTGTTCATGCTGGCTTACAGCATCCTGCTCTGAGGGAGACAGACAGAGAGACCTATCTGTACCCTTTCCTTTCATCTCCTGGGAACCCAGCTACATTTGGGTTTTGTACCTCTGAGTTCCTTGATATGACGGAGAGTCTGGTTACTGTGCGCTACAACTGCCTACTGAGAGAGCCTTTGAGGGGAGATAAATCTTAACAAGTCTTTCTAAGTTGTTATCTCCAGATTTCCTTTACTTAACCAGATCTGAGCTTTCACTGGAGGTCTTTTTGTAACTTAAATAGGGTCAAAATTTCCTTTGGAGGTTTCTGTAAGACAGGAGACACACACAGAGGTCTATTCCTTTAGGAGGCACCTGTGTTAAGAAACAAAAACTGAAGAAGAGTGCAAAAGCAGGGTAAACCTAAGAAGCCAAGCCAGGGCTGGAGTGGAGCGCAGCAGGAGATTAGAGCATGGTGCCCAGGAGGCACAAGGCCCTGTGGTCTTTTTGTTTGTTTTTAAAGCATTGGGTTTGATTCCCAACACCACATGAAAGGAAGAAAGGAAGGAAGGAAGAGAGGGAGAGAGAGAGAAAGAGAAAGAAAGAAAAAAATGAATGAATGAGAAAAAACTTAGCTACAGGATATCTCTCATGTTTAAAGTTAGATGACAATTCTGTGCCATACCTACCCCCCCCATCTCTATAGTCAAGGATGACCTTGAACTCTGGCTCTTCTGCCTCTAACTTCCAAGGGCTAGGATTAGTGGCATGTGTTGCCTCACCTGCTATGAAAGACTCTTAAAAGGAATACAGGGAAAAGCCTTTCTGTAGCAAGTACCAGTGTTCTCATACTTTAAAACTGAGGATTCCTGTAATTGCCATCCTGATGTCTCCTCCTGAGACCTTAGTCTATCTCCTCCAGCGGAACTCTCACAGGAATGAGTTGCTCAAGGTTAGAATGGGAAACCTTCATATCAAGAAAACAAACCCCCAAAAGGCAAAATGAACCTGAAATGGTCATGTCCATTTTTCTGTGCCAAACTTTATAGAAAAACAAAAAGCAACAAAATCAAAGTATCATATGAATGAATAAATTAAGTAGATATGAACAGCCGGGAAGGTAACGCTCTCCCCACTCACACTTCTCAAGTCCCACAAAGCAGCATCTTACCTAGGATATTAAATTTGGAAAAAAACGAAGGCGATTTGAAGTTGAGCAGTGGCAAGAGGAGCCCTATCAGGTACAAGGGCACCGTCTTGGACTTACTCCACCACTTCTCAAACTGCTGCACTTCTGTGTCATTGTAGAGAATCAGGGAGCCGTTGTTAGGATGGCTACCACTCCCAGCGCTGGGGCAAATCACTGCAAAAGTAAAGTGCCATGTCAGAGGTTAGACCACACAAGCCAGAGGATCACTGTGCCAGGGGCTGGCGCCTGCTCAGCTGTTAGCACCAGCTTCTGGAAACGGGTTATATAGGGGCTGTGGGAATCTTTCCTCTAAATATAAATAGTGAAAGGTAAAGGAATCTTAATTAGGACCAAGAGAAGGATCCCATAAGGTGCTCCTTGGCCTCATTGCTGGACAGAAAATTTTGGGCTTATGGTATCTCAGTAATATGAGATGTATCATGCAGAGTAATTGTTGGCACCAATAACCATACAAAGGTCTAATAACAGGCCTTTTTCTCTTAACATTTGTATTGGATTTATTACTTGTGTGTGTGCATGTTCATCACAGCACATGTGCAGAGGTCAGAGGACAACTGGCAGAGGCCCTTCTCTCCTTCTACCATGGAGGTCTGCGGACTGAACTCAGGTCATCAGGCCTGGCGGTAAAATACCTTTACTTACTGAGATACTTCACTGACCCCTTTTCTCTTTTTTTAAATAACAAAAATATCTATGTGTTAGGGAATTAAAAGCAGAAATCCATGATCACTAGTGGAAAACTGAAGAATTTGGAGTGTGACAATCCAAAAGGTTCTGGAGTTTACCCCACTTGCAGAAGCCTAAGAGTCTATTTGACAGGTTGAGGACTGGGAAGTCTGGAGATGTGTTGGTCTTCTCTTTCTCTGTGCCCCTTCCTTCCTGCTCTCTCAGCATCTGTTTCTGTAGCTTACTTGCTGTGCATTTACATGCTGCAGTGTAGAGGTCAGAGGACAACTTGCAGGGGCAGTTCCCTCTTCAACCCTGTGGGTCTGCAGGGTCAAGCTCGGGTTGTCAGGCCTGTTACCCTCAGAGCCATCTCACCAGGCTTATTTTCATGCTCTTCTTAATTTATCCCCTTAAGGTGTCGAGGCTCAACCTCAGTGCTTCTCACATGCCGTGCAGGTGCACTACCACCAAATCACACTCATTTATTTTTAACAAATGAATCTATTCTGAAACATACCGCCAATAATTTCATAGCAACCCAGTAACATAAGAACAATTTTTCCCCAACCACTTACCAAAATTGTGGTCACATGCTCTATTGTTAAATTGTTTTGGGAGCAGGATTGGGGACAAGGAAACAAACTGAATTCCAAACTACTTACCAGAGTTGCTATTATTAGTGCTCAGTATAGTGTCTGTGTCATTAATGTGATGAATAAAATCTAAAAGTTAAAGACAAACATATAGTTAAGCAATGAATGAACCATGCCAAATCCCATCATCACCTAAGGTCTTTTGTTTATAAAAAACGGTTATTTACTGTATCTAATATTATTGAGTACACTGACCCCAAGCTTTCTTAGTTACATAATTTCACTTTCAGTTTTCTTTGCCTACAGGAATGATAGTGTCATTTACTTCATAGGCCCATATGGAAAAAATTTATATAATGCAAGGTTAAAAAAAAGCTACCTGAAAGACTGAATTAATGATAGTTAAAAGGTCTGGAGGAAGATAATGCATACAATTTTTTTGTATACTTAACATTAATTTACAGAAGTATAGCTACATTTTATGCAAAGCTCTCAAGTATGCCAAAAGGGAAACCAACCAGCATACATGGCCAAGCCCATTTGGAAAATCACTTAACGTTTTCCTAAGGTACAGTACATACTTTTAAAGAGTTAAGGCTGTATAGTAACGACCAAGCTTGTAAGAACTGCTGAGTTAGATGGAAGGACACAGATAAAGGCATGTGCTGCTAATGCCTGAGCATTCATGCCATTCCATAGTGAATGTGAGGATGGGTAAACAGTGTGGTAGGTCTGTCTGTTGATTTTGAGACAGGGTCATGCTTTATACCTTAAAAAAAAGAAAGAAAGAAAAAAAACTATAGACATAATAATATTTGAATTAGAGTAGTGGGGGACATAACATGACTCATGGTTTCTCAATGGGTGTGATAATATTACCAAGGAGAAGAATTCATTCCTAAGGGGAAGAAAAAACTTACTTTTTAAAAACATAATGTTCAGATACACACTTTATAAACGGTCTATCTATGATGGTAAATTTTCATTGGAGGGACAATTAGAATAACATGTCTAAAAAGGTGTTCTCAAGGAGTAATAATTTTTTTTAAAAGTGGAGGAGTTAGAAAATATAAAAATATAGGAGATGCCAGCCCACCATCCAGTGAGCAGCATGTAATGGCACACAGGTAAAGCCACAGAACACGTGGCGACATATAGATTAACAGAAATGGGCTGAGTTTAAGTGTAAGAGCTAGTCAGTGGTAGACTGAGCTAATGGCTGAGCAGTTTTAATCAATATTAAGCCTCTGAATGATTATTTTATAAGTGGCTGTAGAACAGCGGATGAGAGAGATTTGTCTGGACTGTGCGGCGTTGGACCAAACGGGACACAGAAAAACTTCAGCTACATATTACAGACTATTCTAGAACAGTACAATGTTGACAGCTGATAAGGCTAAGTGAGAGAAACATGTGGATTCCTTTTCCTTAGTATGTATGTATGTATTATGTATTTATTTATTTTGGTTTTTCAAGACAGGGTTCTGCTGTGGGATGGTTTGTATGTCAAGTGTGTTGCTGATTGGTCAATAAATAAAACACTGATTGGCCAGTGGCTAGGCAGGAAGTATAGGCGGAACAAGGAGGAGGATAAAGCTGGGAAGTGGAAGACTGAGTCAGAGACACTGCCAGCCACCACTATGACAAACAGCATGTGAAGATGCTGGTAAGCCACGAGCTATGTGGCAAGGTATAGATTTATAGAAATGGATTAATTTAAGATATAAGAACAGTTAGCAAGAAGCCTGGCATGGCCATACAGTTTGTAAGCAATATAAGTCTCTGTGTTTATTTGGTTGGGTTTCTGAGTGGCTGTGGGACTGACAGGTGAGAGATTTGTCCTGACTGTGGGCCAGGCAGGAAAACTCTAGCTACAGGGTTTCTCTGTGTATCCCTAGCTGTCCTGGAACTCACTCTGTAGACCAGGCTGGCCTTGAACTCAGAGATCTGCCAGCCTCTGCCTCCCGAGTGCTGGGATTAAAGGCGTGTGCCACCATCACCCAACATGTGGTTTCCTTACATTGTTCTGTTATTTTGTACACATTTGAATTTTTTAATAATAAAAAGTATGTGTTGTATAACAAATTGAAACTACATTTACAAAACCAAATTAAGGTATCAAGCAAAAAGTTTTTACCAAGAAAAACTTAAAAGACATTAAATAAAGACTTAAACTGTGCTATGATCATGGATAGGAGAACTCCGCATCCTGGTACAGTTTCCTCCTGCACCAATAAATCTAATGTAGTTTTTATTAATCCTAAATCAATATCCTAATAATATTAATTATGGTATGTTGACTGAAAATTCAATGCAACGTCAATCAAAATCTAACTATATTGCTCTAGAATTTGATAAGTTGATTGATTCTAAATGTAGTATATAAAAGACTTATGAACCTTAATGCAAAACCAAAACAACAACAACTAAAAATGACGAATTTGAAAGTAAGATTTAAAAAAAAGCCCTGAATACAACACCATATAAAAGTGAAGACAAGCCATTCAGATGTTTACAACACAAGGGTAGATACGAGGCTAGTGTACAATCAGAATTTGATCCCTGAAACGCAATGGTGGGAGGAGAGAACACAGTCCTACAAGTTCTCCTCTGACTTCCACACGTGAGCCCTGGCATGTGTGTATCCACCCACATACACACGTACACACGTACACACACACACACACACACACACACACACACACACACAATACAAATAAATGCAAAAAAAGCTTAAAATCAACATCCTTTATCCAAGTTAAAAACAGTATAAAAAGTACTTGGATTGAGTTGTTAATACCCTCTTCAGAATTCTAGAGCAGATTTGAGCAGGTAACAGTTCTGTGGTAGAGAAATAATATATCATTTAAATTTCATTATTCTACTGTTTTCTACTTTTAGTTCCTAATGTTTCAGTGACTATAATCTGTTTACTGTTCAAACATCAAATTCTTCAACAACAAATACCAGTGAATTTCATAAACTTTTCTGTTTCAGTACTAAAGTGTTGTAGAAATACTTTATACTAATTAGAGACTTAGAAGGAATACCACTTACTAACAGTTAACGCAGTTGGGAGGTCACACACCCTGGCATGGGAGTTACTGCTGTTGTTTTGCTGTGGACATGATGGGCCTGTGAAACTGCCTTCTACATAACTGTGTCTATGCTCATAGACTGGCACTGCTCTAAGCTGTGGCCAGAGATGCTGCTTTTTGCAGTGGTCAGTGGTAACTGTGGAGACTCCTAACTGGCCAAAGTACTGAGAATAAATGACTGTTGATTGCCCAGTCGTAAGTGGGACAACTATAACACCCTCTCCATGGTTCAGGGAACATTCTGGAAGAGGAACCAGAAAAACAAAACAAAACAAAACAAAACCCTTAAGACCCAGAGGAAGTCAGGGCACTGCCTTCTGGGAATGGCGTGTTTTTGGATTCTTGAATTCACAACAATTGTGATATCTTCATAAGACTGGGCTTGTCGATAACTTTCATGGAGGGAGGAAGAGCTCTTGGGGCCCACCCCTTCATGAGAATACATATGCAGGTAACCAGTGACGGGGAGGGAGAGACATTGGTGTTAGCGGTGCAGACATTGCTAAAGCATCTCTGCTCCAGCAAACCAACTTTCACCCAGGTTCGTGTGAGCAACCCTAATGAAACGTGGAAGTAGAAGGGAGCTAGTTGGGAAGAGGAAGGGGACTAAAGGGAGTGCAGGGGAATGAGAGCCTAACAGGAAGTGAACATGATTGAAATACACTACGAAAATGTCAGAATGAAACCCATTGTTTATGTAAAAAATTAATGGTTATACACAGGATATTTGAGGTCCTGAGCATAGAAAAGTTGAATCAAGCATATTACCCAGGGTTATATAACACTTGACATCTAAAAATGTAAGGCTGGAACTAAAATATTACAATGATATTTGAGGGTAACTTTGTTAAAGACTACATCGATACTTACTAAAAATAAACTTTCCAGTATTAAAAAGAAAATTAGACATAAGCACCCAATAAACTATCATTGCTCCAATGAGAGACACCAAGGAGAAAAGGAGACTTGACCATTGTCCAAAGGAGCCGAAATAATGTTTGCAGACATCTGGATATTCCCAGGTAGTTGTGTCTGATGTACCTAGATAAAAATGAAAGAGAAAGAATAAGACTAGATGTCACATAGTCTACATTTATGATTTATATTCCCTCAATCAACTCAAGATATTTAGCAAAAGATTATGGCTACTTTACCAATAAATACAAGAATGCATTATGGAAAAACTAGCAATTAAAATGTTGTAAATCAAAACAAATGTGATTAGTGAAATAGTATAATCTGAGAAACATAGCATCATAACTTTTTATAACTAAAAAGAGCATGTGATAACCAAGAGTAGGAAAACCAATTAGTCAAAAACAGAATACTCTCTCTTTTTAGTTTTTTGTGATGGTGTCTTGCTACACAGCTCAGGCTAACCCCAAATTTACAGCAATCCTCATGCCTCAGTCTCTCAGATTTCTGGGATTGTAGGCATAAGTCACCCTGTTAGCTCATCTAAAACACTACTTAACAGTTAAACACTACTTAGCAACATGAAGGAAAGTTGTCTTGAGTCATATTTTATGCTACAAGCCAATTTAAATTTTAGGTAACTGAGTTAAGAATTTAAAAGTAAAGCTAGGCATAGAAGTGAATACTTGTTAATTCCAGACTCCAGTATGCTGAGGCAGGAGTATGTGAACTCAAGGCCAGCCTGGGCTACACAGTGAGTTTGTGAACAACCTGAACAAGATAAACATAGCAAGACAAAACAACAACAAAAGATTAACAAATTAAAGTTAGAAAATAATATAGAAATCCAATATGAAAGGTTATCCTTTTATCAACTCAGTAAGAAACAGAATGTGCAATAGGAAAGAGAAAGGCTTATGAAAGCCATTCAAACACCGAGTGAGAAAGAAATTCGTAAGAAATTATAGATAAAAAACTAAGTGCAATATCAGATAAAGTACTTAGCAGAACTATAAAAGCACCAAGGAACTTGGGGATAAGTGGAAAAAAATACAAACAAATGATACAATTAAAGAAAACCACACCACTTTGCAAGCATAAGAAACAAAAACAGAACTGGGAACACACAAAATAATGGCCGCCTTCAAAACAGCCTACCGCTAATGTACAGCTGGTGCTGCTGGGAATTAGCACGGCTCTTAGAAAGAAACTTAAGTTCAGCCATTGCCGTCTTTTCTTCCCTTCTGTGTTTTGAACCAGGGCTTGAGCCCATGTAGCTCTACACATGCTAAGCCTGTGCTCCACCCCCGAGTGGATCTCCAGCCCACACTTTTTTTTTTCTTTAGTGGTCAAAATTTAAAGAAAATAATAAAAATAAAATCCACAAAATATGTATAAATTATTTTTTGGAGAGTATTTCTTAGAACAGTAAACAACAGAAGACATACATGTGTTACAGTACACAATCAATCAACCAACTAAACAACAAACAAAAATAATAATGGTGACTACAACCCATAAAGTTCCCTTTAAAAAAAGTGATGAAGTGGGAGACTTGTAATTGTAATAAAGCATACTAGATGATAAGAAGAACACAAAGACATTTGTATAAAAACACAAAAATTATTTGCTTTTCCATGGTTGGATTATTGCAATAGCAATTTGTCTCCATATTTGGGGACGGAATAAGAATAGAGGTAGGTATAACATAAGATTAGGCTAACTGTCGTCAAGTTATAGTCACTTTCTCCACGACTGCATGGTTTGTACTGCTGTAAGTTAATTGCTGTGTGGTGACTAAGCAGGAGCAGTTCTATAAACATCAAGGGAAACACAGCAGCCAGTCCATGGCCGAAAGCATCAGCGAACGCCGGCACTGAGCAGGGCGGTTTGCATCTACATGAACACCACTAGTTTGGACGAGAAGATGGCTCAGTGGTGAAGGTGTCGCTGCTAAACTGATGACCTGAGTCAATCCCTGGATCCACATGATGGAAACAAAGAACCAACTCCCAAAAGCTGTTCTCTGATCTCCACACACGCTGTGGCACTCATACGCCCACACACATATACAAGCATATACACCCCCCAACACACAATAAATCAATGTAATTGAAAAGAGAATTTTAGAAACAATGACAGTTTCATGAACAATTACTTCAGCCTGGTGTAGCAGTAGGTGTTTATACTCCTGCTACTCTGGAGTCTGAGGTGGGCGGACCAGTGAGTCTGTGAGTAGGAGGTAGAAGGACCACTGGAACCTATTGGGTTGAAAACAGCCTGGGCAACAGAGTGAGATCTCTCTTAAAAACAAACAAACAAACAAACAAACAAAAAATAATAATTGTGCCAAGTACTCATCTAGTTTCAGGAGGGGGGATACAGTGTGACTGTCTGCCTGTCTCTTTGTGTGTATTATGTAAGTAGGACTAATTAAGTAAGTCTGCCCCCCAAATCTTGTCTGTTCTATTCTAATAGCATTCATACAGACATTGGGGTGTGAGAATAAAAAGAAACAACCACAAAGGAAAAACATTCTAGTCTATAAATGTCCAGTTATGAATGGACTTTGAAGAATAGACAACAAGTTTATTTATGGGCACAGCACAGAAAAAGTTCTTCATGAATGATGGGTGATAACCATCTCTTTGATTAACAATTAGATCATTAATGTTTGGGTGGAGAGTTTCACTGTAACTTTTATACATGATATTCATGGATTTGTTTTCTCTATAGATTACTTTGGGTGTGGACTCCACCTTGGAGCATGTGACTCTTTAAAATGACCTCTTGACTACCTGCCCAGATGATTTCTGGTAATGCCCTATAACTTTTTGATATATTTCTTTTAAGGTTTTTATATCTTCTGTATTGATCAGGAAGATCTCAATCACTAGTTTATGTGCACAACCTCCTAAATTTTCTTCTAATATCTTTATGGCTTTATTTTTTTACATTCAGTATGAATGCCATCTGGAATATATTTTTATATAAGGTGTCATACAGTGTTTTCCCCCCAATAGATACTTAGTTTAACAGACGCCAAATAGGACATATTAAACTCATAAACCTGAAATTTACATTTCCTTTTCCAGTCTAGTTTTTATAAAGATTACATTTTTTTATTTCATGTGTATGGATGTTTTGCCTGCATGTCTGTGTAACATGTATAAACCTGGTGCCTGAGGCTAGAAGAGGACATTTGATCCCCAAGAGTTGCAGACAGTTGTGAGATATCATGTAGGTACAGGGAATTAAACCTGGGTCCTCTGGAAGAGCAGCAAGTGATTTTAACCACTGAGCCATCTCTCCAGCCCTTCCACTCTGTTTTCTTCCTATTTCTAAGAGAGCAGCTTTCTGCTTTGTTAGAATGACTTTAGAGTATGTTTTAATAGCTGGTAAGTCTGAGTCTTTCATACCGCTTCTTTTTTTTCTAATTTTCCTGGCTGTGTTTGAAATGGGACTGAATTTATACATTTGATTTTCTGTGGTGTGCAATAGCGGATCTTCCAACCCACACGGTATGTTTTTCTTACTTGTGCGATTTAGTTCTTGGGTTTAGGTAGTTTGTATTTTTCCCTCATCACTTGTGTTCTCCTCCTAAATTTCATAAGTCCCTTAGAGTTTATTGCTGTGGTGAATGGAACAATGTCCTTTGCACTGTAGTTCTGGCTGTTGATTCTTGACTTCATATGCAGTCAACTTTCAGGTTCTCATTAATTCTAATAGTACTAGCCAGCATTCTAATATCATTTTTTGTTATGATTACTAGTCTTTTCCAGTTTTTATATTAGTTTGAAATTCTTTTGCTGTATTTGATAATATCTCAAAAAACACTATGAGTTATTATGAGCATCCCTATGTTTTCTTGACTTAAATGGAAATAAGTTTAAGGATTTTATCACTGTAGAATGCTGCTGGTCCTGGTTTAGGCGTAAACAGTCTTTAACTTGTTAAAAGTAGTATTTTCCTTAGAGCTTTACTAAGAAAAGGAGGCTGAATGCCATCAAATGCCTTTTTAGGGGTGTCTATTGATGTAACCATGGATTTTGTGTTGGGTTTCTTAATAGAGCATCCTTCTTGCCTCACTGGAGTAAGCCCTATTTTAAACACAGGATATTATTTTTGTTCATCACTGATTCTATCAAATAGTATTTTGTAACTGTTTTTCTTTCTTTTTATGTCCGGTCAGGCTTTGCTTTAGGGTTTGTTGACTTTGTAAAATGAACTGATGCAAGTTCACCCTTTTAAATGGGAGCGGTTAAGAAACACAGGCATTACCTGTAACAGAGCGAGCGCAGGGAAGGCTGTGTTCCCACTGCACAGGCAGCCTGATGTAAGAGCCATACTGACTGCATGTGTACAAAGAGCTCTTCCCATTTCAGTCAGAACCGAAACTGCAGAAACCAAAGCTGAACAAACTCAACTGGAAACTTGAATGGCTTTTAAACAAGACTTCTCCCAAGATTTTAAACAACATTCCCCAAGTGACTAAGACTAGGTTTAACTAAAGAAAGAGGCTGCAAACTAGATGTTGCTTTGAACATGCTAATAAGACTGAATGAATAATACATGTCTGTCAAGCCCTAAAAGTACTTATATATGTTTTGCCTTTTTTTCTTTTCTTTTCTTTCTTTCTTTTTTTTGTGTGTGTGAAAGAGTCTCATGTAGCCTAGGCTGGCCTTGAACTCCTTATGTAACTGACGATAACCTTGGATTCCTGATTCTCCAGTCTCTAACTCCCAAATTCTGAGATTATAGAGATGTATTACCATACACAGTTTAAAATATGTAAAAATGACTCAAAAAGATGTCTCTCTGTAGAAGTATACACTAGTCCCAGCTGCTTGGGAGAATAAGATGGTGTGGGTTGGATGACAGATTATTTCTACTCAGGATTGAAACCAGCCCTAGCAATCCAACAAGATCCCACTTCAAACTTAAAAACAACAAAAAGATTATCCCCCTGATCCCCTGATCTAGAATCTATACAAATGAGTAGAGGAAATGAGTTTATACAACTTTAAGAATTGCTTATACTTTCATATTTTTCTATGGTTATTTTATGCTTTTAGGTCTGCTATGTGTAGGTCAAAATAAGTAAACAATAATTGGTAAGAACCATGGAGTTCTTAATAGTTTTGACAAGGGCTTTATTTTAAAAATATAACATTTTTGGGCCAATGAGAGCGACAGGCACTTGCCATCAAGCTTGAGAACCTGAGTTTAATCTTCAGGACCCCCACGGTGGAGGGAGAGAAAGCTGCCTCTGTCAAGTGGTCTTCTGTGTCCATATGCACTCATGCACACCCCGTAATAAAATATAATCATTTTTGTAAGGACATCAGCAGTAACATAAATGTATTCTCCAACGAACCCCTGGTTCTGAATTTCAGAGGGAGCCAGAAATTCGTTAACAGACTGGTCAGCAGAAAGCCATGAGTTAGAAGGGTAAAGCTTTTTTTTTTTTTTTTTTTTTGGTTTTTTGAGACAGGGTTTCTCTGTGTAGCTTTGCGCCTTTCCTGGAACTCACTTGGTAGCCCAGGCTGGCCTCGAACTCACAGAGATCCTCCTGGCTCTGCCTCCCAAGTGCTGGGATTAAAGGTGTGTGCCACCACCGCCCGGCAGGGTAAAGCTTTATGTGAAAGTAGACAGCTGGGGCCAGCGAGAAGGCTCAGGAGGTTAAGGAGCCGCTGCCAACCCTGACAGTCAGAGCTCAATCCCAGACGATTTACATAGAAGAAAAAAACTGGCACCTTCAAGCTGTCCTTTACCCTCCACGTGTGCACTGTCACATGCACACGCACACACAAATAAAAAGGAAAAGGAGACAGCTGACACACACGTAGAACATACACAGGAGGATCTGCCTCAGTAGGAAGGTTTGTTAGTTCATGCGACAATGGATTCTCACTTACATATCAAACTCCGTGATTTCACCACTCTGTAGCAGCAATAAAGTGTTAAAAGGCCCATCAGCACGATGACGCACATTCCAGTAGTAAATCCAGCCTTTTGAAAAATAAAAAATTGGGTTCCTCTCATTAGGTAAGAATAACATCATATGCAATACATTGTTACCCTAAGCAATTATGATAAAAACATGGCAATGGAAAAATGAAAAGAACATCTGCTTTTTAAAGAGAATTTTATGTAAATAATAAAACTTAAAATACAGTGGTCTCTCTCTCGCTCTCTCTCTTTTTTTTTTTTACAGTGCTAGTATTTGAACCCAGGGCCTCATGTAAGCTAGGAAAGCATGTTATCATTGAGCTATATTCCCAGTCCCAAACTTAAAGTATAAAGTAAAAAAAATTCAAAGTTATTATTTAATTATTTATTTTGGAGACATTTGGAATAAAATAGGAGGCTTCAGATTTACTGTGTAGCCCAAACTGGTCTTGAACCCATGATCCTGTCACCTTAGTGTAAGTGTGGGGATTGTAGACACCAAAAAATTTTCAGGGGGTGGAGAGATGGCTCCAAAGTTAAGAATGCATACCAGCCTTTCCGAGCGCCGGAGCCTGGTTCACAACACCCACACTGAGTGGCTCACAGCTGTCCGTGACTCCAGTTGTGGAGGGCAACCTAATACCTCTGACCTCCACAGACCCAGGCACTTATACGCACATACCCACACACAGACTCACACATATACACAACTAAAAATAAAAACTAATAAATCTCAAGAAGTTTTCAGATTAAAGTGTACTAAAAAAAGTATATTACCTGTTTTATGCCCCAAGGAATACTTAGTATAGATGTTCCCATCATGGTATTCCAGATCATAAAGCTGAAAGAGTAATAGCAGTAAAAATATGAAGTTGGGCTCCTCAAACATTTTAATTAAGACAGAACTAAATAACGAGTTATTTTCATTCATACACAGTTCAGTTCACACTTCAAGAAGTAGTTCTACTCACATAGTTACTAAGCTGGTGTTTTTACCGTAGCCTTCAGTGTAGCTCTGGAGTTTATAGGCAGAGCCCAGGGGACTATACACATAGCATTCCTCTGGGGCTGGAACTACATGGTCTGGAGCAATCTTAGGGAAAAGAAAAGAGAGACATCAGAACCAGTAAATGTTCTCTATTGATCAAAGAAACTGACTAGACACACTTCTAAGATTGACGTCGAACTGAAACAGTTGGGAGGCTCTGGTTGATGGACGGGTTCCTCGTAGGCAGTGGCCAGTGAGATACTCGGCTATTGCTCTCCATGTCTCAAATGTGTGGCCCTCCTGTCTTTGCTACGTGAGTGCTGGGGTTATAAAACCCTCCAGCATGCACATCTCTAAGACACATTTTTAGATATACTGCTAAGTACTATGAACATTTCACATTATGCATCCCTGATTGAGGAATTAAAAGTTCTTTTTTCAAATATAGTGGTAGATATAAAGGAGCAAGATTTTATCTCCATCATCAAAGTACTTTTCACATTCACAAGAAAGAAGGTAGCAAAGAATAAAATGAAAGAAACCTCCACAGAGGAGGCCGTCCTTACGCGAGGAGCTTTTCAAGAACTAAGTGGTGTTACTTAACTCTGAGGTGAAGGTGGTTTTAGAAGAAACAGCCAGGAATCTCAGACTAAAGAACTGAGGAGACAATGGAGAGGAAGTAAAGAGATAGTACATAGACCAATTTTTAAATGCCTTGGGTAAAAGAAACAAGTACCAAAGGAATTTAATGAATGGTAAACAAGGATTGCAGAAGCCGAAGACATTGAAGTATATAAGCAAAGGAGAAGGGCTGGAGAGATGGTTCAGTGGTTAAGAGCACTGACTCCTCTTCCAGAGGACCTGGGTTCAATTCCCAGCACCCACATGGCAGCTCACAACTGTCTGCAATTCCAGTTCTAGGGGAACTGGCAAAACACCAATGCACATAAAACTTTAAAAAAAAAATAAGCAAAGGAGAAGGAGGCAACAGAGAAGTAACAGATGTGGCGAAGAAGACTGAAGAGATGTACCGTGTACACTTATTTCTCACACTACCTCCTACATTTCTTCTAACTCCACCTTCCCATATTGGAGAAGAAAATCCATCCTGTTTTCTGATGAAACTCTGTCCATTTCTGAAAGTTGCTCTTAGAGAAGAGGAAGTCCTTAGAGGCATGGAATCTAACTAGTACGAGCTGACAATCTTTTCATATTAGCACCTACATATCAGTGTGCAACTTTGTGCTAGGTTTCCTATTTGCAAGTCAGGTAACAGCCTCCAACCATCTCCGATTCCAGATGGACACATGAAGCGATTAGACAGGACTAGAAGGCATGCTAAAATTAAGTGTTCAACTCTGTGCTGTTCTGTCTCACTGGCTAGACAATGAGAACCAGAACGGCTGGGGGAGACTTCAAGGAAGAGATGGAATGTCAGCCTTAGTAGAGGAAAGGGCATACGTTATCAGTACAATGTCACACTTTTCTCTTTTAACGTAGTGAGATCAGTGGTGTCTTTGCAGGAAAGAACATCCTGAATGCTATGCATGGTGTGGCTTCAGAAACAACTAGTTCCTAAAGACACAGACAAAAATACATATGAAAATTGTTCTTTTCCTTCTCCTCACCGACATTCCTCTAAGAACTGGATGATCTTGTCTTCTGCCATGAGTAAAAAGAAAACAAGTGCAACGCTATGTCCTATCAAGAAGGAAACACACCAGAGCTGACAAAGCAAACTGAGGAAAAACAAGTAAAATCAAAACCTATAAGGAGCATGGTTCAATAAGAGGAAGAAAATTCTGGTTGTGTTCTTACACTGACGTACACAAAAAGGAAGAAAAACCTACTCCATGTACACCTCACCTAACTCTGTGCCCTGGGCTCAGTCTCTGGTCTGGATTATGTATGGGAAGATGTGAAGGATGGGCTGTTCTTAGGAGGCATGGTAAACTAGAGGCTGGATCTCACTGTGGCCGTGGTCTAGGGTGGTATTTTCATCTGAATGTTCCTATGACACACACACAGGATCTTGCTGACATATGAACTATGCTTCACTGGTTCTGACTAAGCCCCACATAATGCCTTTTTACTAAGCCTTCAGTGATGCTGACGATGCTGATCTGTAGATACACGTGTTTATTCGCAAGAATCTAGGAGATGCTGGCGGACAACTTTCTCTCCTCTCCAGCTTAAAATAACAATAATGGGATTTTTGTCATAAACGAAAAGGTTTTATTCTATGAACATTTGGTAACAATGATTTATTGTTCTTCGCTAAAACATACTTTTAGGGAAAATGGGATTTTTAGAAAATGCATGTGGATATTTATACAAGTTCATTAGAAATGGATCTATCACATTAACTTTGGTGACTGGATGTACTAAAGTCATCTCAGTGTCAGCTAACAAAGGGTTACAACTCGGTGCACAATGCTGACTGAATTTCCAGGCACGTGATATTTATTCAGCCCTAGATGATATCTCTGAAGTCTGCTTCTAAGAGTATAGAATTTGGAGAGTCTGTCAGACCATAATGTCAAATCGCCCAAAGATTTAGATAATTCTATAATGGACTTCACCATCAATACTAATGTAAAGTCCTGAGTGGGGAGATGGGAAATAAAAAATAAAAATTGTAAAAAATTATTCTGCACATAGCATTTCAGAAGTCTTCTCTTGAGATCATAGAGCCAGGTATGGTGGTTCATGCCTGGAAACCAAGGAGAGAAGGCAGGGAACTCAGGAGTTCACTCTCAGACACAGAGAGATGGAGGTCAGCCTGGATTTCACCAGATGCTATCCAAATGAAGACAAGGAGATCTTAATGCTTACTTCACATAGCCATTATGGGGGTTAAATCGGATGGCCAAGGTCAGGTGGTACCCACTCCTGGACCTTGGTAGACATTTAGTGACAGTCAGAAGCCAATTGTTTTCTTCATTTTTGGTACTAAGATCGACTTTCACCATATTTTTTTAAGCTTTCAAATTTCTAAGTATCTCACATCTGATCAACGTATAAGCAACAGATTACTTACACATTTTTAAATTCTAAAATAATAGACTTCAGACAATCATGAATTCATAAGCTATGGTCCCTAATGCAAATTTGGCCTTTATTGTATTTGCGGCCCTTTCCTAAGAATTTTTTTAAATGTTTCTAAGACAAAACAATGAACTGTAATAGCATGTGGTCTGAATAGGCTAATTTTTAATTTATAAAAGGAAATGCTAAACAGAAAACTATCAGGTATATGTATGAGCATATTTGTTTCTTATTCCCATAGAAAATGTATGTAAATATTTTCCTTTGTAGCTTCAAACTTAGAAATTAAACAGACTAGCTAGAATCTTATGCTTTCAGTCAATGATTTAAGCTGCTGTTTTGAAAGAAATTTGACTTCCTCAGAGCTCTTGGAATCAGAGATAAGCAAAAATTAAAAACAAAACAAAACGATCCAAGCTATTGTCAACAGAGTTTAAAAAATGGCTATGCCAGGGTAGATAAGAATGAACAAGCCTGAAACATGTATTAATGACTACTTTGACTTTGCATGATGCTATCTTTGGAATACCCCAGTGAAAAGTTCAACCGCTGGGAGTTGCCCTGGGTTTTGGTGTTTACAGTTCACTTCAACTCAACTTTAGACAAGCAGCAGAACTTTGCCTCTTACCAGTGCCTTGTCTGCAGGAGTGGTGAGCCGGCTGTAGTAATGAATCCGCTTGTTCATAGCAGAGGCATGGTCACTAACCTTCTGAATGACATCATTCACGTTGATGATGTTTGTAGGCTCTATATAGAAAGGCCTAGAGAAGGGAATATATACTTGACAAAAAACGTTCAGGCAGAAATTCTGGAAGTCAGCCATTGCAGAGAATAACTTCTTGTCCTCCATTTGAAATGGGATGCACAAAGGCAAGGCATTCACTTCTCACTTTTGGTGGGAAAAGAAAATGTCACAAAAGAAGTATTATCCTATCCACAGAATACAGCTTTTGTCTCATAATGCTTTTACTTTAAACACACTTGAATCTTAAGGGATTTAGCAACAGATGAGAGAAAGCAGAAAAAGCTTAAGTCATTAAGGAGAAATATAGCAAAGAAAAACAAAATGTATCAGCTGTTGGTCTCCAATAGTGTAACTTAGATAGAAACAGCTTTGATTAGTCTTTTAAAATACTTCTGGCACTAAATCAGAGAAATTATAGACAAAAATGTCCCTTCACAGAAGAGTTTCTACTCCTTCCTCTATAAGCCAAAGTTACTTCCTTTGACAAACAAAATTCTTGCTTCTCAGGTCATGTCCTAATCAGCCTCTCTCTTTGTGTGACTGTCCAAAGTGGGTCAAGTGGAGCATCACGGCACTAGAGGGATTTTGCCTCCCTGAATTTTCTTGGATCTTGCTAACATACTCTAATATCTATTACGTGTGTGTTTGTCCCCCCCCCCCCCCCCCCCCCCCCCCCCCCCCCCGACTATGTCCTGACGAACTACAGATTCTGGCTTTCAATCAGCATCTCCAGTCAGCCCCTTGGTGTCTTTCTGAAACTCCCTCACTTGCCTTCTAAGTTTTCAGTAATAAACAGTCCAAATGGAAAGACAAGGCAGAACTGCATGGAAGACTGCATTCCTCTGCCAAGTCTCAGATCCTTTGCAGTGGGAAATAACGCCGTGTCCCAAACTGTGGCTGTGACTCTTTCACATTCTTCCCTGGCAAGAATAGTGAAAACCAAACCCCAAGAGACTAATCCTGGTCTCATAGAGCTCCTTTGCACTCACAGTTCTGAGAGAAGCTCATGACACACTGAGGTTGGTGACTGACTTTGGAGGATTCTGCTGATCTAATCTTGTGGGGGGCAACTGAAAAGCCAAGTGAATGAAACTTTTATTTCGGCTACTTTTCTAGCCAACTGCGATATGGTAGGTGTTGAGTTTAGTCTTCTCTTTCTAACTGACCTATATCTATAGAGCCTTTGAGCCACTTGTTATTCGTTCTCCATGACCACACCCAAATAGAGGGATCAACTAGTCCATTGGATGGACAGTAACTAGAGCACTTATAAAAGCAAATACATGGGCAGAGAAATCATCATGACATATCAGATATCAAACATACTGGCAAATGCATTAGGTGCCATCAGTAAATTTTAAGGGGATATAGTGAAAATAAACGGGTAAGAGGCTAAACAATCACTACTTCTACATTTGTCTAATATAACCACCACTCTCTATGAAGTGTTAGGATGTGATACACTATTTCTGTTTCCACTGTGACACTTAGTGATACTAAAGGCAATGTAAGAATACTGCTCTCTGGGGCTAGGGCCATGGTTCAGTTAGTAAAGTGCTTGCTGCACAGGCGTGAGGAATTGAATTTAGATCTGCAGCATACATAGACAAGCACAGAAGCACATGGTTTTAGCCCCAATTCTGGGGAGGAGGTAGAAAACAGGTGAATCACTGGAGCTCATTGGCTAGCCAATCTAGGCAAACTGATGAGCTCCAGGCTCAACGAGCAACCCGGTTCAAAAGATAAGGTGGAGTGCAATGGAGGAAGATATTCAGCATTGACTTCTGGCACTTGCATGCGTATGTGCTCATACACACACACACACACACACACACACACACACACACACACACACACACACACAGGTAAGGTATCTGGGAGATGTTACATTAGGAAGCTCACACTCTCCAGGACATTCCTGCAGGATCAACGCTAAGAAAATTCAAGAATGCTAACTTAAGGCAGATACTTAGTCTACTGAAAAGGTCTAATATTGGTAGAAAGAGTTATACATCCTTGTAGCTTTTCACTCTGAAATTCAATGGCATTAATATCAACCACTAGGTTGGTTTGAAGGTCTGCTGAAAAGCAGTCCGGGAAGTGCTAGATTTCTTGGCTCCTGCCTCTGACTGAAGCGTTAACTGTACCAGTTTAGTTGGCTCGGGTACTCTGAGAACAGAATGACTTTGAAAGTTTTTCTTTTCCAACCGTTTTCATCGAGATGTTGAGTGCCTGTTCAAACAAATATTTTGGAATTTTTTCAAAACAGATTCTCTTTAAAAATATACAATTCAGCATATTTTCAGTGAATTATTAGAAACACATGTCTAAAGCTTCATTTGAGAAAGTGAAAATATATTTCCAACGTGAACTTTAGTTGGATCTTAAGACACTTTAAAAGTGAAGAACACTGCACAGAGGACAGTGCTCAGGATAAAAGGCCGGAGCTTTTTCTCTGGACACTTGAACTTGACTGCGCCCATCAGTGTTACTGGCCATTTGACATGTAGTTCATTTGTACCCACTGAAAACAAAGCGGGCGTGTTGGCGTCCCCTTATAATAGTTATAGTGACGCCAAAGAAAAAGTGTTTTAATACTGAGAAAAATTTGTAAAATATTTAAAAATATGACTCAATTCGCATGCATTCATTTAATATACTTATAAACAAAGAAACCTCACTCCTATTAACACCTTTTTTAGATTCTACTCCTTAAATTCCTTAAAATCTTTTGGCTTTTCAATCTGTCTCCACCCTTCTGCTGCCTAGCCATGCTTCGGTGAGGTTAAGTAACAACTCTATGACTCACGGGAAGGCTAGTACCCAGTATGGAAATCTTGATTGGAAACCGCCCACTTTTTCACATCCCTATGAAGCTGAGGAATTCCAACACCTGACAGACAGGTGGGGGTCATTTGTTTAAAAAAAATGACAAGGCAATCAAATATTCCAAAAATGTTATTCAACTAATAAACCCACTGTACTTGCTTCTACCTGCTTGGTAAAATGTTTAGCAGACAGCTTTTCAATAAAAAGTACAGAAAAAGAAATTACTCAGGCCACTGCATCTAGAAAGTCCTTCTGCTCCTAGGGAATGACGGTGAGCTCTGGCCTCCGGGCGTGTTTCTCACTTCCTCTGAAGGTCCTACAACATCATCTCTCACAAAAACTGCTCTACAATTCATCTTTAATCACAAAGGCTGGGCCTATATATATTTCTTCTCTATATTGGCTAGTTTATTGGTATTAGTTTTTAAATTTATTGAATAAATACTATTTAAGTTCCAACAAGTATTAAGCATTTGTGTGAGATATTAAAACGATGAATAAAACATAGACGCCCACGGAGTGTACAGTAACCCGCTGCAGAGATAGACCATAAGCTATTGAGACCCAGTAGAAGAAACCAGCTTTTCACAAGCAACGACAGCCATGAGGAGCAAGCAATGAGGAGGACTGTGTGGTGCTTGGTCTATGTGGGGAATGGGGTAAGGGACACAGAAGAGGGAACCAAATCATCTGGTACACTTTTGAGGAAGTTAGAGGTAAGCTGAATCTTAAAGTTGGAAATAAAGGAGTAAGTCAGATATGGGCAATAAGAGAAAAGAGTGTTTCAAAGAATGGAAGACTAGGGATGAAACTCACATGCCCAGCATGTGTAAGGCCTTGGGTTCATTCCCTGTGCGCACACACACACACACACACACACTACGTACATACACACATGCACATCACCACCACACGCACACACACCACACACACACACACACACACACACACACACACACACACACACACACACACACACACACAGGGACAGAGAGAGGAGAAAGAGAACCAAAAGGAAAAAGTATAAAGGTATATTTTAAAAACCCATGTGGGTCAGTATATGGAGGATTTCTCATGCTAACACAGGACTTAATCCTAAAGGAAGGAAGCTTTCATTTCTGTTTCTGTGACTGATTAAATCTCAAATCTCCAAGCTTTAAATGTAAGGGTTCCCTGAAGTTCACAGGCATCTCTCTAGTCTCCCTCCAATGCTGGCTTCATCACCTAACTGCGTTCATGTAGATGCTGTGCACACTGAAAGTGTGATGTCCAGACTGAATGCCTGGCTCATGTATCAGACTTCCCCGCTGGGCTCCCCTTCTCCCCTCTGCTGGACTTCCCCACATTAGGCTCCTCCTCACCATTCCAGAAACACTACAAGCCCACAGCTTCTTCAGGACCTTTGCTATACATTTCAGGTAAAAACAAAGTCTGTGAAGGCCTTTTATCTGGATACCTGCACAGTTTATTCTTCACCAGCTCATTCCCAAGCTGTCCCTCTCTCAACAAGGCATCTGATTATTATGGTCATCATATGTAAAATTTCAATGCCTCTTCTACACTCTTGCTCTCCACTCTGCTCTACATTTTCTCCTTCACAGCTATACTACCTAATATGTCAGACAAATATTTATTTTTGGACCCCTCTGGTGAAATGCAAGCTCCATGGGGGAAGGATTTTTTTTTTTTTTTGTTAGTTTGGTCACTACCATATTCTTAGAGCCAATAACTGTATTTGACATGACATAGGAGCTCTTCAAAATGTGGTAAGTGGGGGTTGAGAATTTATCTCAGGGGTAGAGTGCTGACCTAGCAAGCACAAGGCCCTGATTTCAGTCCTCAGTTCTGGAGAAAAAAATGTAGTAAGGGAATACAGAATAAAGCAGTGCTTTGAGAAAAATGTGTGTGTGCATGTTGTGTGTGTAGATGTGTACAAGTGTGTGCATGCATGGAGGCTAGAGGTTGACACACAGGGTCTTCCTCAGTCAGTCTCTATGCTGTTTTTTGAGATGATGAGGCTGGAGCTTACCTTTCACTACCCCAGCTTTGATGTGATGCTTTAGAGCCAAACTTGGGGTTTCAGGCTTGGGTCTGAGCACATTTATGGAATGAGCCATCTCCCCAGATCCAAGGAGAAAATTAGTTTAAAATAACTTTAGATTACTACACAGAAATTGGAGAGAGTAC